CCCGTTAATATGAAAGTGGCTTTAACTATTTTTTTTAACTTAATTGCATTTTATTTCTAAGAAAGCAAGATTTGAATATGATGAATTTTAGAGGAGGATGATAAACCCAGAGCTATTCCAAGTTCTTAAACAACAACAGCAAACCCCTGGCTATTAGCAGTGTTGAGTTCTTTTTATAAAAAAATTATATATTCAGGGGAAATGGCCAACCTGGGGCACCTCTAACTGAGTCTTCTTGAAGAATTTATTTGTGCTTTGGCTGTTGCCGTTGTCTTTTCTTCTACCCTTACTTAAGCCAAACCTGTATTTGAAATTATTTTAAAATGGAGCCTGTTAATAGTATCCATCTCAGGGAAGTGTCAAATGTAAACTAATCTTCCCTATTAACATTCTTCCTCTTACAGAAGAGTGAATGGAGAGGAGTATTCTCAAATGTGATCTTCAAATGCCAGAATAGGCTGAATAATAACTTATTAACGCTTCTCTTGCTTAAATTAAAACAAAAACAAAACAACACCAAAACTGAATGAATACACAGGACCATGTGAAAAAGAAGTGGTTAAGTGGTATACTGGTTAAGTGGTTGATTCTAGTGTAGAGAAATTCTTACTCACTGGGTCTAGATTTCACTGTGTAGCATAAGAAAGGTGAAGGATACCTAGAATATAGTGCTGTTATTGTTAGGTTCTGTCAAGTTCACTGTAACTGTTAGAGGTTCTGAACAGCAGATCTGAACTTTGCCTTATTCTGTTGCACCTCACCATCTCTGATGTACTCAAGCCCATTTTTTACAGATACTGTCAATCCATCTTATTGAGGGATGCGAAAGGATCAAGAGCAAGGTGAAGAAGCTAAGTCTGATCACTGCTAACTCTGCAAAGGAGAACTGTCTCCATAAATCACATCCACATCCACAGTAGCAAACAAATAACTACACAGTCAGCCATAGCCCCCCATGCTCCAGAACCTACGTCAGGTCTGATGCTCATCGCAGATTGACTCAGACTTGATTTTACTCAAGATGTGGGGTTTATTAGGAAAAGAGATTGAGAGGTAGGGGAGGCAACTGATAGCACACAGTGAAAGTCCAGATTTAGTCCAGCAACACAAATGCAAGAAGCCTCTGGTTTCCTTAGTCATCCAGCAAGCTTTTCCTCATAACAGTCACAAATCAGCTCTCCCTTCAATTGTCCAGCAAGCAAAATCTTTAACTCTGTCTCTGTCTCCAGGGCTCCATCAGGCTACACCTCACTACAGTCTCCATAGTCTGGCATGCTCTCCCTCTTATGTTGGCCTACAGGTGTTGATGTAGGAAGAGCGATCATGTGAATCGTTGTGTCTTCAGTTGAGGCACCTGGAACTGTGTCCCTTGAGGGGACTAAGGCAATTGCTAGAAAAGCCATTTTCAAAAAGTCTGAACACTACACAGGTCTTCCTTTCTTTCTCTGACCTTCCACCTTTCCCAATATGATGTCTTCCAAAGACTGACCCCTCCTGAAAATAGGGGTACTCAGTAAATACTTACTAAAAAAATATTATCCACAAAATATATCTTTATTTCTTCATTATAGTAGTTTAGTTACTGTTATAACACACTTTAAGATTATTGAAGGTGAAATAAATGTTATCAACAGAGTTGAGGGTGTTTCCTAAAAATATTGTGTTTTAATATTTTGGGTCCTTTTTGGAAACAATAATTAATAAATTAATTAATCTGTCAATCTGTTCTGGCTTAACTATTATCAAGAGGTGGCATGTAAAAAAATAATTAATGTTTTAAATACTTCATATGTTTTTCTGAATTTACATTAAAATGATATGAATAGGCTATGTAAGACAGTACTTTTAGTAATGAAGATTATTTTGAAAAATATTTGTTTTCATCATTACTGTTTTTCTTAATATAGGAACATTTTCATTTTGCTATAATTGTTTTATACATATTTATTTTTATGACATAGCAGTGAATAATAATTTTATAAATATTCATCTGTATTATTTTTGGGATATGCCATCGTGTATGACTCATAGCAACCTTATGCACAACAGACTTGAACCCTGTCCTATTTTGCACCATACTCATCATCTCTGACATATCTGAGCCATTTGCTGCAGTCACTGTATCAGTCCATCTTATTAAGGGTAATTGTAATTCTTTTCAGTAGCCACTCCTTGAAAATTGCAATTTGGCATTCTGTGAATGAGCAGTTGGGCTCTCAATACAACCTCAACTCTATTCCACTTGAATTTATAGATCATCTCCAAATAAATTTGATGCACTGAACATGAATGACCAAATACTAGATGAGTTGTCGGGGATGACATACATGAAGAAAGTAATAAGATAGAAAACAAGATCAAAATGGATGTCAAAACAGACTTACTCAAGAAGGTAAAGAAATGATGAAGAGAGTAAAATTTCAAAGGGCAACTTGAGAAGATTAAAGAAAGTCTTAAAATGAAATAAACATAGTTAGAAAATCCAAAAGATAAGAGTATACTTAGCATTTCTCAGATTAGAAGAAATAATGAAAAAGTCAAACCTCAAGTTGCAGTACTTAAGAATTAGATGGGGAAAGTACTAAGTGATGTAGAAAGCTTGGAAGATGGAAGAAAGTCACTGTGCCAAAAAGAATTGGCACATGTGCAACCACTTCAGAATTAACATGTAATCAAGAATGAATGGTATTAAAGAATTCCAAGCTGAAGGAGTTGGCAAACAATAAGGCTTCAGGAATTGAGGGAATACAAAAAGAGATGTGTTAACAAATAGATGTAATGCTAGACATGTTCACTTGGGTAAGCCAAGAAATGTGGCTGCACCCCAGCTGACTGGAAGAGCTTCATACTTGTGTCCAGCCCAAAGAAAGGTGGTCAAATGAAATGCAGAATTTATAGAACAGTATTATTAAGATCACATACAAGAAAAAAAAATTTTTGCTGAACGTAATTAAAAAACATCTTGAGAAATATATACTGCCAGGAATTCTCAGTAGATTCAGAAGATAAGGATCTTGACTGAAAGCAGAGATGATCTGAAAGATGTTACTTGTATTGTATTGGCTTTGCAATGGCATATTTCATTAACTGTGTGGTTCATAAACAATTATGCCTAGCATCAAGAAGAATGAGATTTCCAGAACCCTTAACTGTTTTAATGTAGAATCAGTATACAGACCTAGAAGCAGTTATTCAAACAGAACAAGGGAGTATTGCATGGTTTAAAAAATCATTAAAGGTTTGTGTCAGGGTTTTGTCATTTCACTCTATCTGTCTGCTCTACTGAGCAAATAATCCAAGAAGCTTGGCTATAAGAAGAATGCAGTAGCATCAGGCTTGAAGGAAGACTTACCAACCTGTGATACACAGATGGCACAACCTTGCTTAAAGAAAATGAAGAAGACTTGAAGAACTTACTGATGAAGCTTAAAGATCTTAGCTTGTAAGTATAAATTACACTTCAAACTCAAGGAAACAAAAATTCTCCCAACTAGACCTATAAACAACATCATGTAAAGATTGAAGTGGCCAAAGATTTCATTTTACTTGCATCCACAGTCAAGACCAAAGAAAGCAGCAGTCCTGCAACTAAGGGACATACTACAATGGCAAACTGCTGCCAAGGACCTCTGTAAAGTGCTTAGGAGGAAAGTGTCACTGTGATGCTTTAATCCAAGCTGTGGTGTCTTCAGTCATCTCATATGCACCTGGAGAGCACCTTCTGTGTATTGGGAACTCTGGTGGTCTAGTCCTCAGGGTAGGAAGTTGTGAAGCTTACCCAAAGGCTGTGCCTTTCTGTTGGTTCAAATTCACCAGTGACTCCGTAGGAGAAAGATGGACAGTCTTGTCCCATGCATTTTTCAGCCTTGGAAACTCAATGAAAGGTCAGCAGTGACTCACTTCCTCTTCATAGCAATGAGTGAGTGCATATGCATGTCTAAGTTGAACAATGAATAAAGAAGATTGTTAATGAATTGGTGTCCTTGCATTGTGGTATTGGTGAAGACTGTGGAAGGTACTGTGAAGAAGTGTAGTCAGAATACCCCTTAGAAGCAACAGTAGGACTTTTGTCTCATGTAATCTGGGCATGTTATCAGGAGGGCCCAATTCCTGAACAAAGACATCATGCTTCATAAAAAGGTTTAGCTAGAAAGATGACTTAATGATGGATTGATGTAACGGCTGTGGCCATGGGCTTAAGCCCAGCAAAGATGATGAGGAAGGACTGGACAGGATTTACTTCTGTTGTCCATAGGGTCTCTCTGAGTCAAAGCTGAATAGTACTTAATAACAACAACAAATGGACAGGTATGCGCATATTTTTGGTTTGTAAATAAGTTTGAATATTTTTATTTAACTCTTTCCTTTATTGTAATTGCCCTTAGGGTAAATTTCCAAGAGTAAAATTACTTAGTAAAAAAGATTTGAAAGTTTTAAAGAATCTTACTGTACTGCTTTCCAGAGTGGAAACACATTTTAATTATATGTCCTGTATTTGTGTGATCACTACTTACTAGTATTTATCATTCTCTTCTCTTTTTAAAAAAAACTTTAATAGCTACACCCATCCGTTCCTACTGTCAGGTCCTTTCTGACTCTCAGCCACTCCCATTGAGTTTCTGAAGCTGACAATCTCTATGGGAGGAACCTGCCCATTTTTCTCCCATAGACTGACTGAGTCTAAGTGCCAGCCTTTCAGTCAGAAGCACATGCACTGCACTGCCAGGGCTCCTTAGTAGATTTACAGTGACATCTGATTTTATTATTGGGGGGGGGTGAGGAAGTTATTACCAAGGAACTAAATATATTCTATTGTTTAATAGCATACCTCTTTGTAAATTATTTATATGTAAACTTTGTTATTGAATACTAATCTTATCTTTAAAGACAAGAAAACACATGATATAAAGCCTGTTGAGTCCCAGGATTTAGTTAAATCATCTCTTGAAAAAGTATGTGTTGCCTTATGTGTTTATACTTCTAACTTTTTCTGATTGCAGACCATTCATCAAGGATTTTATATTCAAAGTCCAAAAGTTTGTTACCGAAGATGATGAATGCTGACATGGATGGTATATTTTTTTTCATTTTCTTTGTTGTGCATTCCTGGATTTTGCTTTATTGGCTATGGAAAGGATAGAGAAGGAATGATTAGAAGGCTTGACTCTTGACCAAGTTATTTGTTTATATTTCATTTAGTTTTAGAAAGGATCTGAGGCATCTTTCCTATTACTTAGCTGTTATTTTGGATTTCATTTCTATTTTGTTCTCATCTGCAATATAGGGAGGATATACATTTTTCATCCACAGAGTATTTGTGTAAGATCATGAATGTTATGTAGCTTCTTAGGCACTAAAAGACACAAATGCCACCTAATGTCGATGAATAGTAAATATTAACCTTTTTATAACAGCAGTTGATGCTGAAAATCAGGTGGAACTGGAGGAAAAAACACGACTGATTAATCAAGTATTAGAACTCCAACATACACTGGAAGGTGAGCTTGCATTTTTGGGTTTTCTTGATGACAGCCTGTTAACTGGAATAAGCATTTATGTTGCCAAATTTTATGTTATTGCACTTAATTTTTACAAGTATCAATTTAAGTTCATTTCAATAGCATTTCTCCTGTCTGTAGTATGGTTTTTGTTTTTGTTTTAATGGAGATTTTAAGTTTATAAAGAATTTGGATTTCCATTCATTCATTGTTGCACATTTTCAACAATGTAGTATTTGTTTTAATGAAGAAACATGGTTCAAAAGGTCAGATCGTGCTGTGCTTTCTCTTTAAGATCTCTTTACCAAGAATACTGTTATACACAAGAGCCTGTTTTTAAACTTCTGCATATTGTTACTAAAGTCAACTTTAATAAAGCTTGTATTTTAAAATAATCTATTAACATTATAGTGACTAAAAAGGAATTGGTCTGAAGTTTTATCATCATTTTCTAAATAAAAAAATAATTTCAGTGAAACATCTTGTGTTTTTTTAATGAAATTAAAGGCTTTGATGGTGATTAGGAGAAGAATTGAGCCAGTGTGAGCATATCATGTTGCTCAGAATTGCCCGACTTCCATTTTATAGTGTTTGGGGGTTTTTGGTTGATTTTTGGTGTGTGGTTTTTGGTTTGTTTGTTTGTTGGGGTTTTTTTTGTTTTTTTTTTTTTTGCATGCTTTACTTTTTAAAATATTTTTTGATATTTTAACAAGTTTACAGAAAACTTGGATTTCCATTCATTCATTCATTGTTGCACATTCTCCTCCCTAACCCCCTCCAGTTTGCTTTTATCCTTAAAAATATTCTTTAACTGTTGCACAATTTCCTCCCGTCCCTCTCCCCCCCCAAGTCCACTTTGCTGTGCACCTTATTCTGAACTGTTGTCATGCAAATAATTCCTAATTCTGTATTCCTTTTAAACAGTTCTTTCCCTCATCTGTTTCAATGCAGTGTTCATTTTTTATCCCCCACAACTCCCATGTCAAACATATGTTTTAACAGTGGCACCATGCAGTTATTTGTCCTTTTGTTACTGAGATATTTCACTCAGCATAATGTCCTCCAGGGTCACCCATTTTGTATATTTTATGAGTTCCAGTGCTGTGTAGTAGTCTGTTGTGTGAATGTACCACAGCTTCTCTATCCATTCCTTTGTTGACGGGCATTTGGGTTACTTCCATCTCTTTGCTGTTGTGAACAATGCAGCAATAAACATAGGTGTGCATATATCTGCTTGGGTGGCAGTTATGGTTTCTTTAGGGTATATTCCAAGTAGTGGATTTGCTGGGTCAAATGTTATTTCCATTTCCAACTTTTGGGGAAAGCACCATACTGCCTTCCATAGTGGTTGCACCATTTTACCCTCCTATCAGCAGTGAATAAGGGTTCCAATTTCTCCACAACCTCGCCAGCATTTGTTGTTTGCTTACAGAGTTATTAACAGCTAAAGTCTTTCCCAGGGTTGACAGCTAGGCCATCTCTGTTATAATTCAGTCTTGTCACTCGGTGCCTCATAAACTCCACTTCAGACCACCCCTACTTCCTCGCTGTGTTGTGTGTCCAGAATGCTTCTGTTTGGGACCCTAGCAGTTGCAGTTCCCTCTGCCTGAATTTTCTTCCCTTGATTATTTGCATATCCATGTGACTTCATTTTCTCATATATTTAGGTCTATGGTCAATTTCCCCTTATTAAAAAAAGACCCAACTGTACTGTTTTTAAAACCACACCCTTTCCATTGTCCCTCTTACCCTGCTTTCCTTTCTCCAGATGGACCATCATAATCATAGCATGCCATGCCTGTTCCTGACTCCCATTCTGTCCCCTGTCATGCATACACTGCTATCAGAATGTAAGCCCTGTTGAGTCCTTTCCTTTTTGTTCATCATTGCACCTTCCACATCTATAACAGGGCCTGACTCTTTTAGATACCCGGTATGGATTTGGTAAATGAATGGATGGAGGTAGTTTTTTAAGTGTAATCATCAAGAACTGTGGCTCTTTCTCATTCTGTTGCTCAGAAGCTGCCTACCTCCATCCGGTATATGAAATCAGTTGTGATCACTTAGTACATTCTCTTAAACATTTATTACTAAAGTTCTTTTGTTGGGACATGAACTAGAACTGAAAAACAAGAACTCATGAAATATTACACAAAATGGGTGGCCCTGGAGGACATTAGGCTGAGTGAAATATCTCAGTCACAAAAAGACAAATATGGCATAATGCCACTGTTATAAAAGGGGACTGACATCGAGGTTGGGAGAGACTGAGGAAGATGGGATAAATGTACACAGCATTGAAACAGATGAGGGAGAGAACTGTTTAAAAAAGATATTATTGTTGTGACAGAAGTCCAGAAGGAAGGTTGCATAGTAGAGTGAACTTGGGGGGAGGGAGGGATTGAGTAACAATGAAACAATTTTTTCTTTTACTTTTCAAAAAGAAAAGTGAATTGGCATGGGAGGGGTGGACAGGGAGAAAAGTGAAACAATGAATGAATGAATGAAAATACAAAGTATCTGTAACTTTCATTAAAATAAGTTAAAAAGGAGTTCTTTTTAAAACAGGGTTTCTGTTGTAAGTTACTTAACTTACTGTTATTTACAAATATTTTAATACTTAATGTGAAGTATATTCAACTTGCCAAATATGTTCTTTGAAATTACTGTCTCATTTGTGTTCACTTGACTTTAACTCCTCTAAAGGAGTCAACTGAAAAACAAAATTTAAGGATATCTCCTTTAAGAATAAGCCTTAAAAGATATTTGATTATGTCACATCATTGTCATAATTTATTAAGAGTTTTGTTTGTTTTTTAATGCAGATCTTTCTGCAAGAGTAGATGCAGTTAAGGAAGAAAATCTGAAGCTAAAGTCAGAGAACCAAGTTCTTGGACAATATATTGAAAACCTCATGTCCGCATCTAGTGTTTTCCAAACAACTGACACAAAGAGCAAAAGAAAGTAAAAGTTTACTAGTCTCTTTTATCAAATTGCTGCTGGGGCTTTTTTTGTTTTGGGGTTCCCCCCTTTAAGACTTGGATAGATTCCTAAAGTTACAGTATTTTGTTTGTGGGGTCATTGCATATTTATGAAGAAAATGGCAGATCTAGGCAAAATTAAGCTTAATAGGAGACTTCTATGAGTTTGTGTATTATGTTAGTCTAAGAAAATGTGAACATGTAGAGACTTTATATGATTAGAATTGCATATATTTATGAAAACTTAACAAATGAATGTTATCAAGTTTGCTTTTTTTAGGTTTAGCACTTTTATTCTAGGCATAATAAAAGAGACTAACTACTATGTTGTGACAAGTGACCAAATCATGTATCGAATGCACAGCTTTGTATGTACCCTGTCCACCATCGTGTGCCTCTTTTCCACTTGCCTCTTTCATCCCATTTCCTTTCTCTCGAGATTTGGGCGAGGGAGTTGGTTCCACATTTGTAATTTTAATGACTGATCATTTTGAGAATAACTTGAATTCATTGTTGAGACTTAAGTAAAAATAATTTTTCTCTGCTAAGACCTGTTA